AAAAAGATGAAGAAGGAGGGGGAGGGGAGAGGTTGGTAAGTCAACGAATAAAGTACCTTTAGAAGTTCCACTGCAGCTCCCCACAACAACTCTCTCTCTGTCTCTACGCTCCTCTCTCTCTCTCTCTCTCTCTTGCCCCCTGTGCCCAGGCTTTTGCGGATGCTTAAGCGTTGAAGAATGTCACACACACGTGGAGAGCACAAGGACAAGGAGGTGTTGATGGGGACACGAAGCACAAAGGAGAAGGTGAAAACCTAGAGCCAGAAGATGACGGCAACGAAAAACATCAATGAACGTCAACAGCAATGAGGTGAAACTGGTGTCTAGACAACAAGGTACCGGTCAGCCCAGGCCAACGAAGAGCAGGCCTTGGAAAAAAAGGACCTGTGGCATACAAGGCAAACAAAACGGTAGTACTGGCACAATAGGCCAAAATGTTGTAGTAAGAAAAAGGAAGGCCAAAATGGAGAGGCATCGTGATGGCACCGGACCTAAAAAAAAAAAAAAAAGCAACCGGTCCACTCCGCAAGGGGGCACAAGAGAGAGAGTTACCGAGGGTCTAGCGTCGTGACAAAAAAATAAATGACCTCGACACAAAAACAGAGAAAACTCACCTGCGGGGAAAAAAAAAAAAGGGACTCGGCCTAGGCCAACCAAGCGTGGGCCTTCGAAAACAAGGCACCTGTGCTATGACGGGCAAACAAAACTACCCGATGCCAGCATAGGYTGAGACACCAACAAAAAACGCAGGGTCACAATGAAGAGGCACCGTAATGACACGACAGCAAAAACGAAGGGGCGGGGGGCGGTGGGGGGGGGGGGGGGGGGAAGCCTGTGGGCGCGGAACGCACCTTAGTCGCACAGGACCTCGACAAAAAAGGCAAAAGTGGAGACGCGCCGTAGTCGCATGGGACCTTGACAAAAAAGGCAAAACAGGACACGCGCCGTAGCCAATGCCACCATAGGTCGAGACACCAACAAAAAACGTAGGGCCACAATGAAGAGGCACGCCGTACACGTGGCAAGGTGAAACTGGAGACGCGCCGTACTTGCACGGGACCTTGGCCACAAAAAGGAACCACGCCGCAAGGGGGCGCAATACATTAGTTACGGAGGGTCCAGCGTTGTGACAAAAAAAAAAAAAAAAAAAAAGGCCTCGACACTAAAACAGAGAAAACGGACATGGGGGGGGAAAAAAAAAAGACATCCGACTAAATTAATCAGATTAAGGATATATGTTTTTTTTTTTTTTCCTTTTCGGGTCTCTCAGGTTAACCCCCCATTTCTTTTTATTTCGGCATGCGCATCCACAACATCAAGCCTTCCCGATAAACATCAACGTTGACTACTGCGGGCCAGCCCAGCACAAACGGCCGTCATTTGCAACATCATTTCCACGCACTTGTCAACTCTCAGATCCCGGGAAGGTTAAAAAAAAAATTTATCCAACATGGACATGTTGGAATCATGTTGAACATATGGTGATCAATTGTTGAAAACATATAGCCCGCATGTTGACAAACGGTTGAAAACATGCAAACGGCCCGTCAAAACGATTGGGCCAACCATTTCACCCTCTTCATATGTTGGTCCCAAATTGTGTCCAAGTTGAAACCATGATGAAAATTTGCCACAATTTTTCTGTTGTTGGTTGACCTAGCCAGGAGGTACGTCTCACTCGCGGTGATTGACTACGAGACAGTGACCGAACCATCAAAGTTTCGGCATCTGAAGCGAGGGATTTTTTCGCGGCCGTATCATTCTACCTTGAGGGATGAATTTTGTGCTAGGGTCGACTTCCGTATCACGGCCCTTAGATGATAATGTTTAGTGCTTGCAGGGTTTAGGTGGCTCTACATCCAGAGGCCACAATCTCAAGAGGCACGTAGGCATGACTCAAGGCTATGTGACACCCTCGGCTTAGGCCGCGGACATTTTGGCCGCTGCGACCGAGAATCTCGGCTGCGGCCGCGGCCGATGAGGCCCAATCCGCAGCGTGGTTTTTTAATTTTTTTTTTCGACCACTAAAAATACGTAGAAAAAAAAAAAGAACAAAAAAGGGGGGTGTAGGGCTTGGAAAACCCTACACTCCTATATTTTGTTTTTTGGAATCCGACTTTGTTTAGGATTTTTAAAAAATAAAAAACTAAATTGGATTTAAATGAAAATATATATATATACATATAAAGAAAAGCAGAATTTTTTTTTTGTCATTTTTTATCATGAGATTTTTTTTTTTTTTAATTGAACTTCTGTTTTTTTTGCAGGGAAATGAGGTATTTTAAAAAGACGCACATGCAAAATTTAAAAACAAATAAACAAAAAAAGGGTTTGATTGATTGATTGATTGATTGATTGATTGATTGATCTGATTTGATTGATTGACTGATTGATTGAGTGTGTGTGTGTGTGTGTGTGTGTGTGTGTGTGTGATGTGTGTGTGTGTGTGTGTGCGAGCGCGCGTGTGCCGGGGAGGGGAAGGAGGACCCCTCCCCCACCAATCAATCAATCAATCAATCAATCAATCAATCAACCAATTAACCAATCAATTAATCAATTAATCAATCAATCAGTCTGACAATCAATCAATCAATCAATCAACATTTTTTTTTTTTCTATTTTTTTAATTAATTTTGGTACTCAGCAAAAACCAACCCCCTCCCCCCCAATTTTTTTTTTAATTTTTTTACTGCGCAGTCCTATAGAGGAGGACGTGCGCAGGCCGAGGCTGCGCGCCGATTTCCCGCACGCGCCCTTGCATGAGCCTGGCGCGGCGGCAAAAAAACTCGGCCGTGGCCTTCGGGGTAACGTAGGCTCAAGGCACAAGAGGCACCCAGCCAAATGAGAGACCGATGAGGAGACTCTAGAGGGATGAGTGATGACTCTTGACTAGTGCTGGCCTTGTCTATCGACCTGTACTTTCTGAGATTATTATGAGTTC